TGGTTTTATCCGATGTGGTGGGAGCAGAAATCCTTGAATAGAATTTGCAGGAACTCACTTGAAAAGGAAGCAGACTCAGCTGGCTCTCCACTTCTGTCCCTCTCCTTTCCCTTCCTCCCCCCTGGGGTGACAACTTCATGCAGAATGCAGCATTTCTGTCGGCCTTTCACCTTGGTAACCGTGAGACAGGAAGCATGAGGGCTAAAGATGGTACAGAAAATGAGCACGGAAGGGAAAAATGAAAACGAGCAAGGGACAAAGCAAATATTTGAGTTGTTTGGCTCACGTATTGGTTGCCTTGTTGGCATATCTTCTGGGCAGATGGAATTCTTACAAAAACATGGAACTTTAAATGTTAGGTTTTGGTTTGCTGAGGCAAAATCTCCCAGTTTACTGAGGAAAGGCCACTGTTAGGTTATGAAAGATTTCAAAGTAAAGCAGAAAAGACTTGTAAAGCAAATAGAAGGCGGTTTATTGCCTGCCTCCTGCCTGTGTTTCCCAGTGTGTTCGGGGGCCCGCTGGTTCTGTAGGCTGTCAGTGGGTTTCTTGTCAAATAAACTTAGAAACAGTGTTTAAAACTAAATTAAACAATTCTTTTCACCAGAACATCTTAGAGCTTTAAAACTGTGCTGAAGTGGGAGTCAGGGAAGGATCCACGAGTTCACATGGGGATGGATGGGCTGGTTAGATCAAGTGCTAGTGCCAGAGAAGCCAGCAAGTACCTTCAGACAAAATCTTTGCTCAGTGCTTGCGTACCAGTTCTTGTCGCTGCTTTGACTGCTGTATCCATTACCAAGTACATGGACATTGCTTGCTGGACCAACAGGTGTTTGAGTTTCACTGCAGAGTGAAAACAGAACAGACAGACAGTTGGGCTCATTCCATCTGGCTTTATTCTTCTTTTATTCTCAAAAATCTATGCAAACAAAAATCGCTTAAAATTCAACAATAAGGAAACAAACAGCCCAATTTAAACACGGGCAAAAGATCTGAAGAGACCCCCTCGCCAAAGAGGATATACAGATGGGAAATAACTTTAGGAAAAGATAAGCTACCTCATACTAAAAACAGTGAGATTAGAATGGCCAAAATTCAAACCACTGACAATACCGATGCTGAAGGAAGTACAGAGCAATGGGAACCCCACTCATTGCTGCTGGAGATGCAAAAAGGTGAAACCACTGTGGAAGACAGTTTGACAGTCTCTTACAGAATTAGACATTCTCCTACATATAATACAGCAATCATGGTCCTAAATATATGCCCAATTAAGTTGAAAACATCCTGCCACACAAAAAGCTGCATATTTGTACTTACACAGCTTTATTCATAGTTCCCTTTGTTGCCCTGGCAGCAACTAAGATGTCCTTCAGTAGGTGAATGGATAAATACATAAACCGTGGTACACTTCCAGTGGTGGAATATTATTCAGCACTAAAAAGAAATGAACTATCAAACCACAAAAAAAAAAAGACATGATGAAATCTTAAATGCTTATTACTAAATAAAATAAGCCAATTTGAAAAGGTTACATACTTTTAATTCTAACTGGAAGACATACTGGAAAAGGCAGAACTATAGAGACTGATGTGGGAACTCTCTACTTTGCACTCAAGTTTGCTCCAAACCTTAAAAGTCTCTAAAAAACAAAGTTTATTAATTTTATATATATATATATATAAGATATATATATATATAGTATATATATATACAGATATTGATCTTATCAGTCATGTTTGCTGTCATAAAGAAGTCTATATGATTGCAAAATATTTCCCATATTGTGTGAACATTATTATAGACCACATCATCATCATTAAACACTCATCTGGGATAGGTATGCCTGGTAAGATTGTGAAAATACAAATACACTGATTAAAAAGCAAGCAAACAAACAAAAGCACAAAAAACCACTCATCTGTGTAAGGTGCCCTCCTAGGTACCATGCAAATGACTTTAATTAAAACAAATATAATCCCTACACCTTGAGAATCAAATTCACTCAAATAATTCTATCTTAAAAAGAAAATTCACTGATACTTTATGTTTTAAATTTAAAGAATAAATGGAACAGCTGGATCCTATTCTATTGACACCTTCATTGACCTTTATAAATTATCAAGTGTATAAGGGGAATCCTAAAGAACATTGATTCAACCAAGCTTACATTTCTCATTTGTTAATTTAAACTAGATCTGGTTATATATACTTATAATTTTTAGATATTCTTTATATGTGATGACTCAGGTCTTGGCCATGGATTTCAGTTACATTTTACCTTTATTGTTTAATTTTTAACTTTGTTTATTGCATCTTTTTATTTTCCAAATAATTATAAGTCAGTGTTTATACCCTTTTGATGAAAGTTTCTGTCTTGGTGTAATGCTGTATTTTCTTTTAATTCCTTACATGGTTTAGGGTTTTAGATTTATATCTTCAGTTCACCTGAAATTTATTTTTTGGATGGAATTTCTAAAGTGTTTTGCTAATTATCTTCACTACACAGCTTGTTAAAAAAAATATGCACCTGTTTTTCTGCAACATGAACATGTTGCTGCCTCTATCAGATAATAAGACTCAATGATTCAATCCCTCTTCCCCGCAAAACAGAACAAAAAACACTTATGCCTTTACACGTACGCCTTTTTTGGATGAAGAAACACTGGTCGCTGTAGAATGTCCCCTGGAAGCTGTCATCACTCAGCACTTATTTCACTTCAGGGAGGAGATATTTGGGGCCTAGAACAGAGCACTACTGATACCTTTTCATATACTTTTTCCTGTAAATTATAATATTAAACAAAATCGTTATTGAAGACTAATGTTTGACATACATATATATACTAATTAAAACTATGAGTCTATAAAATGAGCATATTCTGTGGAATGTTTCCTGAGCATGTTTGTTTGCTGGGACTTTTGTTTCTTTCTTTCTTTGCTTTACCGGACGTCTCTTTCCTGGGATTAATGTCATTCCACAGAATTCACTCTGGGAAATAACACTGGGAGAGGCACAGAACCTTGATGACATTGTTAAGACACTGATTAAAATAATCCTGAACCTGAATTCTACCATTGTTTGAGACTTCTTACGTATGATGAATTCTTATTGCTTAAAACTGCTTGAATCAGGGCTTCTGTTCTTTGTAAAGGAAACCGACAGATGAGGACTCAGAGCCGGGTGCTGTGAGTAACAGATTCTAAGATGCTGAATGAGGTGTAGGAGGCTGGACGCGGGGCAATGTGCAACCCACTTCATAATGCTGGTTTGTGTTGACCATTTGTTGTGGATCTGTACAAGACAGATACAAGCTTATTCTAAAAGTAGCCAATTTGAAAAGAGAGGTGGGAAATGTGGCCTAGCTATCGTCTGCAGACCAGGAGGACTGAGAGGCTGATCACTTGCAGGTATGCAAAACTGGTTAGAAAAACTGAATCTGGAACCATGAGTTCTTAATCTGGTCTCTCTATATCTCAGGTGCTTTGAGGCTCTGATAACAAAATTCAGCACATGTGTGTACTTGGATGGAGAAAAAATTACATCGTTCTTTTCATTACCCCCTAACTGAAAATTAGTATTTCCTTACATTATAAATGAAGATGAAACAAACAGACCAACCCACAGGTGGATTCTATGTGATTCCATTTGTCATCCATAGAATTGGGATACTTTTGTGTCATATTATAGTTATTACAGATGTCTCAAAATACTATTTAAATGCTTAATTTGAAATTTCAGTAGACTCACTGCTAGATATTGATTTAATTTTAAGTATCCTAAATATTAATTTTCATGAATTAATAAACACCTATTTATCAGAAATACATCTTTAACATTTTCATAACTGTACGTCAATCTAATTTTCCTATAACCTCATACATTTTATTTTATGGACTTAAAAACATTATTCCATTATTCTGTGTCTGTGAGCGTCATCAAAGTTCCAAAGGGGTTTGTGGCACAAAAAAGGTTAAGGGCGTTTACCTACAGTAAAATTCATGAGAGAGGAGATGGGAAAACAGGAAATTTAGGAATGGGATTGTGGTAAATATGTACCTGTTAATTCCACCTTCTACAACAGTAGAGAATGTTCTTTGATTAGGGCCCAGTGCTAATCCCTCAGAAGAGTTCCTCAACCCATTCTTCTCATCTCTTGGTCTTTCTCTCTGGGTGTTGATACTACCATCTAGATATCTTTCTTTTTTCATAAGAAATGGCTGTGTTTGTAGCTGAGTAGTTTTTTCAGCGTACTTTCAGCCTGTAGAAAGCTAGGGTCTCAGAGCTCTGTTTCATTTTCCATCGTCTTTGACCCTTCTTAGTATAATCTCATAGCAGCACTTCCTTAAAAACCTTGCAGGCTTTCTATGTATCAGGTTACAGTTCATTCCAAAAGATACAATCCATTCCCACCAACCCTTTTCAGACAGGCTGCCCCCTACTTGGAGCAGCGAGTCAAGACAGTGCCTTTGTGATGCTTAGCGTCTCTTTTGCTTAGCTAAGAGAGTCGAGTGAGTATCATCTTACATCTTTCAAAGCATTTTAAGAAAGGGTTTTACAGTCTTGCCTTTGCTTTTATATGTACGCTGGGGGGCCACTTCTTACTTTGAGAAACTTACACTAGTTAAAGAGACTGGAAAGGCGGAAATGTTTCATTTTCTACCCCAATATATCCTGGGTCCATGTTTCCTCTGAATTCTGTTTGGAAACTGTTACAGCTTTACATTGTCTTTCTCTCTCCTACTTCATGCAGCTTAAAAGAAGTGATCATTTCAAACTTCTGCTTGGAAAACTTCTTAACCTTTCCTTGTGGCACTCAAGTTTTCACACAAAATACAGAATAATCCTAGTAAAAGCTCATGGCAGTGATCCACTACTAACTCAAATAGTGTTTTTGAGTGAGTTTTAAAAAGCTCTCTCTTCCTGAAGACGTTTACTGGCTTCTGATGGAAAACTGTAACAAATATACATATCTATGATGGCTACATATGTGAACGGCAGCCCCTGAAGTTGTGCAATGCAAAATCGTATAACGATTCCCCTGGTTTTGTATTATTCCGTGCTCAAAACCTTCCGGTGGCTTCCCTTCACATTAAAAAAGCAATAAAATTGAAAGTCCTTACCTTCTTGTATGCAGAATATATAAAGACATCCTACAAACTAATAATATAATCTGGCAAATTACTTGGATAGACTCTCTACAAAGAAAGATATACAAATGGCCAATGAGCACATGAAAATATTCCGCATCATTAGATGTCAGAAAAATGCACATTAAAACTCTAATGAGAGTCCTATATACCCACTAGAATGGCTAAAAAGATAAAAGGCTGACAACACAAATGTTGGAGGGTGTGTGGAAAACCAGAACTCTGATATGTTGCTGAAGGAAATAAAGAAGGGTACAATTACTTTAGAAAGCCGTCTAGCTGTTTTGTTCCATTTAAAGTCAAAAATACACTTACCTTGTGACCCAGAAATTCCACTTTTAAATATTTACCCAAGAGTAATGAAAAGATATGTCAACATAATGACTTGTATGCAATAACACAGAAACTGGCAATAATTCAAAAAAAATTAATGAAAGATAAATAATTGTTGTATGTTCATATTGGAATGCTAATTACATAGAAGTAAAAAGAATAGACTAATAATACATGCAAGAACATGGATAAATTTAAAAAACATATTGGGGAAACAAAGTCTTACCAAAAGAATGCATGCTCACTCTATGATTCCATTCAGATGAAGTTCTAGAACAGGTGAAATTAATCCACGGTAGAAAAAAATTAGACTATATGCTTCAGGGGGCAGGATGGAGACTGGCTGGAAGTGGATATGGAGGAAATTTTAGGAATAATGGAAACATTCTATATTGTTTCTGAGATGAGGTTACATGGGTGAATATAATTATCAAAATGTATCTAATTGTCTACCTAAGATTTGAACATTTCACCTGTATATAAATTTTACCTAAATTAAAAAAGAATCAGTGCCTGTCCGACATGATCTTTCTTCTGGCTTCCTCTCTGATCTCATCTCCTCCCACTTTAATACCAGCTCGGACCCACCAAATACACTCACCCAGGCTTTACACTTGCTCTTCTCTTTGCCTGGAACACTCTTCCCAAAGTATATTCATGGTTTTCTTTCTTGCTTCCTTCAGGTTTCTGCTCACCTGTCATCAGTTGAGAGATTCCTCTTTCAGAAATTATGTCTGTTCCTCAACTTCTCCTGACACAATATGACTTTATTTTTCTTCTATAATGCCTCCTGTTGTATTACTTGTTAATTTGTTCACCTGTTTTCTTTTCATACTAGAATGTAAGTTTAATGATGGTGGGGATTTTTGTTGTTGCTGTTCATCACTGTATTCCAAGTACTTAAAACAATGTCTGGCACAGAATAGGCACTCAGAAATACATTGTCTTCTGGTCTAAACATCTCCAGGAGACTTTTCCCCATTGCTCTGAAATCTTTTCCAGTAAGACTGCATCTTGTCTCTCTCTACAAGTGCTTCCCTTGCCTGCAGCACCTAGGTTTAAATTGTTTTCTTGTAATAAATGTATTCCTCCAACCCATGTTTCAGACTATAGTTTTGCTAGTTTACTGTGTCTTCCAGGCAGGCGTGGGTGACACATATGCAGCTCAGGACCATGCGCTACATCTCCTCTCATTATTTGAATTCTAATTCAGTTTGCGGCTAGAATCAGACCACTAAGTTGTTGATCCAATTCATTTGTTAAATTAAAGTGAACAAAATGATCAGGCTGACCAGGTTTTAATATGGCCATTCAGTTCTTAGATGTTCAATTTAAGATAGAAAACATTGACACGAGTAAACATTCATGTATAAAAATAAGTTTAAAGTATTTGGCTCTTTTTTTTTTTTAATGAAGGGGAGGTAATTAGATTTCTTCATTGATTTCTGCTTGGAGCAGGTACTAGGGATTGAACCCCGGACCTCTTGGGTGCTGAGCATGCGCTCTATCACTGAAGCTATACCCTTCCCCATTAAAATATTTGGAATAGAAAAGGATCTAATATTTCATTGGAGATGGAGGATTGGCCAGTGGCTATAATTGATGGAGAACTTTAGTTGACCTTCTGGGGATACAATTAATCATTATTAAGAAAATGAATGTCTGTATAAGAACAGTGCTTTTATTAAGCATTGTATGCTACAGACTAAACTAGATGAATTATTTTTAACACACTGATCTCCAACACCTCAGGCTACTTCACATTTCATAGGGACCTCTGGAACCAAGGAAGTGGGACATTGAATTGAATTTCTCCATTATGTAGAAAGATCCTTCTTGAAAAATAATAACTTGTCTTTAAAATGCTTGATTCCTGCTTTATAGGTGAGTTCTATTACAGTTTTGACCTAAATATCTAAGTTAGTGGCTCCACGAAGACAGATAGTAAATCAAACATGGCATATTGTTTAAATACATCAGAAAAAAATGAACATTTTGGTTATTTTATGGCATAAATACATTCTGTGCAATGTTAAAATGAAGTATAGTCATGGGCAACATTAGTGAATATCTGATTCAACTCAACCAACATTTTCCGAGCATGTGTTAAGCATCAAGCAACACATTATGAACACAAAGTGAGCCAGATGTTGTTCCTGTGCTTAAAAGGCACACAGGTGGAAGGGAGTTGTGAGATAAGGCAGAGATATACATGAATGAGTATTATACTCATAGTCAAACTTTGAAGCACTCCATAATCAAATTAGCACACAATCAGAAAAGGCAAAGACAGGTTCTATTTTAAATGTTTCACTTGAGTCTTTAAGACTTTGGACAGGTGAGGAATTTCAGGCAAGAGGGACATTATCATGAAATAAGGTGCACAGGCAAGCATATTGGTGGGATGGTAGCCTACTCTGATAAGAACCTGGAATTGGAAGGAAGAGATAATGAGATATGAGGTTGAAAAATCAAGCAGAAGGGAAGTTGATAAAGAGGGCTGAGGAGTTAAGGCTTTATCACATTTTCCATAGGAAACCGCTTAAGTTTTCTGACGGCAGTGGTGATGTGGTCACATCTGTGTAATGAAAAGTTACCTCCATAAAAGTGTGTTGGTTGGACTGTGGGAAGGAGAGAAGAAAGGCTATCTCTGCAGTTAGCTGCAGATCATGATGACTGGTGATAGTTCTACTATGTGCTACCAAATAGTCTATGTTCAAGAGAGTAGAGATACAGGGGGAGGGGATAGCTCAGTGGTAGAGTGTGTGTTTAGCATGCACAAGGTCCTGGGTTCAATCCCCAGTACCTCCATTAAAAAGAACAGATAAATAAACCAAATTACCTCCCCCCCAAATTTTTTTAAAAGATTTAAATTTTAAAAAAATTAAAAAAATAAGAGAGCAGAGATACATTTGTATGAGTGCCTTTCTATATAGGAGGAGACATCTACACACACATACACACCCACACACACACCCACACCCATTAGTCTGGCAGAGAACAGCAAATCTGAGAGACAGAATATTACAATGGTGAAGGACATGGGCCTTAGAATCAGACAAAAGCATGACAGTCTAACTGTATCACCTTCCTTAAGGTACTTAAACTCTCTAATATAAAATGGAGCTAAAGATACTTTCTTTTCAGTTTTATTAAGCAATAAATATAAGAATGTATGTGAAGGATCTAAGATAGTTCTGGCCTATAATAAGTATACACTAGCTGGGAGCTAACCTCACTACTGTTACCATTTTCACTATGTTTACCAATCTGAGACCCATCCCAAGGCAGTAAGTAATTAGGTAAAAACATTTACCAGAAGCAGCTTGAGGTCTACAGTCAGGAAGATTAAACCCCATGCTCTCCATGACAATGGTCTTGCAGTTTTAACAAAATAAGATCCATACACAGAACACAGAATCCTCCAGAGTCTGTTCCAAGTTCCATTCCCAGAAATGACTTCAATGAGTAAATACTTTCCAACTCACTTGCAGATTCGCTGTGTACCTGCTAATTCATTATGCTGCTCTTGCTCAAGAATGATCTTCAAAGCGTGTAACACAGCAAAGTTTATCAACCATATTGTCCTCAACTTCTTCAAGTTTATCCTGCAGCAGCTTCTATGACTCATGGAGAAAGCAAGCTACAAAGGTTATGAGTGATTTTTTTTAACTTTAAAAAAAATAACAGAATTAAAAAAAATTAGCAGACAGAGCAACATTTACAATGAGTGAAAAATAAAGCAAATTATAAACAGAAAAGATGAGGGGTGTAATTTGTCCTCAACTCTGGTTGTTGACTTACTGCATGCTTGTGCCACACAGAGAGCAAGCAACAAAACCTCTTCACTGAGGACAGTAATCCATGAGAGCAAAACTGAAGACCGAAGAATCTCAGAACTCAACACAATGGAGAATCAACCAGGGGGTTTAATTAATCAGAAGGCTCTCAGTATAACAACTCATCTATAACAAGTCCAATGACCTGGACGTGGAAGAAAGCACTGTCCCAGGCTCCGCTGGCACTGGTGAGCCCTGGTTCCAGAGTCGACATCTAGCCCTCTACCTCCCAACTGTCGCCTTCTTCTCATGCCCCATAGAGGCACACAGATCTTGGATTCACTTCCTCCTCCCTGACTCCCCTATTATCTAGATAGATGTGGGTGAGGGAGTGCTGGGGAGAGATGGTCTGAGAAATAAAACCTTAGACAACATTATTGGATATTCTCTGCTGAATAGATTTTCTCAAAATAGCAACAATGAAAAAAATTTTATCAGCTAAAAATTCCTGAAATACATCAGAAATTTTGTAGCTTTAAAAGTCTTCCAATATTTGGGGGTGGGGAATAATCTGCGGCCTTGCTCTTTTCACTCTCCTCTACCCACCTTATCCTCTCTGATAGTTTCTCGTGTACCATTAACTCTATTCACTCATCTGCCTATTGACTCCCAAGCATACCCTATACACTTGCTCAAGCAGTCTTGCCCAGAATTCTCTTTCTCCCCATGGTAACTTGGAGGAGTATTTCTTCTGAAGTTTCACAAAGTTCCCATCTCTTCCAAGGAGCCTTCCCAATTGCCTCTTTTTCTTTTTAAATATGATGATAAGACTTTGCTTCTAACAAGTTAGCACTGATATCACTTTGATTTCACAATCATCTGATTCCACAAGGATTGTAAAATCCTAGAAATCAGGAACCACAACTGTTATATTGTTGCATCTCCTAAAATGTTTGGTATAATGTTTATAGCACCAGTATTGAGAAGGCAAAGTCAAATTCTAGGCTTTACCATTAGCTTCCTGTGAGAGTTTAAGCACCTCATTTTACCTCTTAGAAACTCTGATTTCTCATCTGTAAAAGTGAGTATAATAATATCAATTTCAAAGGGGTGCTGTGAGCACTCACTATGACCATATGTGTAAAGCACTTAAAACAGCACTTGACCCACTGCATGTGTTCAATAAATGATAGCTTAAACAATGTCTGTGCTCTGTATGGTGGAGCTGTAGTGATTACCTTCTCCAGATAATGCATTCAAATGATGTCCTCAATCTGGCCTGCAATTAAAAGCAAAAGAGCCATTAGTGAGAAAGAGGACCTAAGCACTTAATGACAACTCTAATCTTCAGGAAGAACAGCTCTTCTCAAGTGAGATATTGTTATCAAACCCACTTGTCTCTGTGAGCAAGTTACTCTACAATGAGTCTAGGAACACCTGCTTATTCTTCTGGGATTTATTGCAGTGATAAACTTTCCAAACACTGGAAAATGGAACACTAGTTATCTGGATAATTTAAAGAGAAATTTTGATGGGGAAAATGTCTTTTGCTGTAATCATGTGAATTGGTGGTTTCAGGGCTCTTCCCAGCCCTGCAATATGGTGCCATTCTTAGGCCATGTCTTTCTAACCATATTGTCTGAGACATGGGTGAATTTCTATCCCGGATCAATTCAGCATGTAATCAGTAACTATTCAGATTGGCTATCATGCAAACCTACTCAATTAAATTGCATGTCACTCTACCATAACACTTCAAATCATCCATATGCCTCTTTGGTTATGGAAATTATATTGCATATTGCAATTGGATTGAAGTTTGTGTGTATATGTGTGTGTGTGTGTGCGTGTGTGTGTATCTCCTTTCCTGGAAAAATGGCCACTCTTTCCTGAGTGATCATGTTGTATATTACACACAGTTCTGTTACACCACCACCAACACATTATTGCTCCTGCGGGGTGCAGGCAACAACTAATATTTTTTTCATCTTTTAATCCTACTCTTGGAGCCTAGCACAAAGCTGGTCCATGGCACAGGATCAACAAATGTTTATTCTTTCAATTAATTCATTTTCTCAGCTGTCCCTACTCCGTCACCCAGTTGCTCTGGGACATTAAGCATATCATGTCTCTGGGCTATGCATCTGTTTCCTTCATGGAAAAAGGAGTTGAATCTCTGAAATTCTATAATTTTATGAAAACAAAGAAACAGAAACAAAAGAGACATTAAATACAATAGGTGTGTCCCTAAGGGCGCTCAGATATGTGTGCACGACAATTCTGGTGCTCAGCTTTGCAGATCTCACCTTCTTCCCACCCATATTTTCTCCCTCAGTACAGAGAGTGACAAAGTTAGTAGGAGCTGAGATAAAAATCACCTTGTTTATTAGATCTGGGTTAGGCCAACAGGCCCCCAAAACACACAGAGTCAGATCTGCCTTGGCTTTAGTATGGTTAGAGCGAGTTACTGGACCTTACGCTTTAATTTTTTAATGAACTTACTAGTCCCAGGGATCAAAGACTTCTGTTGTTTATCTCTACTCTTTTAGTTTAATGACTTCTGACGCTCCATTAGGGTGTCCTAAGGACTCAGGTGGAGTTTTGATTGCCATTCAACATGAGATGATAGAAAACTCACCAGGCTCTATAATGTCCTACTATGAACCTAAGAGGGGACGGGGAACAGCATTACCCTTGTTTAAAGTGAGCCATCCCTAATCCTTATTTAGAGAAGCTGTTCTGGCACTGCTCAAGCAGAGAAGCAGAGTTTACTCAAAAAATTAGGGAAAAGCATTTCCAGGAAAAAGAGAAGAAAAAAAAAAAAACACAACCTGCCTGGGAAATACAAATCTTTTATTTCTATCTCCACTGTGCTCCTCTTGGAATCTCCATGCCAATAACCCTTCCTCTCCTTAGGATTATAGCAGGAATATAGATACATAGGTGGAAAGAATCATCTCTATTGATGGCTGTTCAGTAAAGCACAAAATGCAGAGATTTTGGTAAGTTGGATTTGTAATTGTGGCTAGGATCTTGAGCCAACTTGGACCATCTTAACATTTCAACCTAAATATGGCATTGGCATTAGAAGAAAGACTAGGGTTTGATTAACCCATTCAAATGGCAAAGAAGAAACTGGAAAATGGTCCATCTTCAACAAACAGAGGAACATCTGCCCCTGTTGGTCTGCTTCACGATGGGAGGGAGAGTTGAGACAGCCCTGTCCCCTCTTGTAAAACAAGGGGCTGAAAATACAAGAGTGAAGGAGAATGAAGAAAGTTATCACACTGCAATTTGATTTCATAAACATACTGCAAGTTAAGTTACCCCACTGGACATGAAGCTCTCAAATTTCAAATAATCTACACCTGCTCTCTGCATTGGAAGAAAAATGAGTGGAAAGAGACTGAAAGTATCCACTCCAATAATCTGCTCTATGGAGAGTAAAGTGTCTTTTCTATGGAAATATAAGAAAGAACGAATCAGTTCCTCCTTCTGGAAACTTTTAGGTTGAGCCTTCATTTCTCTACTGTACTACGGTAATAAGCCTCTTAGTATGTTTATCATCATTCTTCTAATTTAAGTTTTTCACAGCATGGAGGAAAGTCTTTTTAGAAGATTAAATCATGCCTCTAACTTGCTACCAAACCTTCAGTACTTCCTTGAGAAAGTCACCCACTCTTTCTGTGTCTCAGTTTCCAATTCTATAAAATGGGGAATGATAGTAACGGGTGTGCAAGTTTGTCCTGAAGGTTAAATGAGTTAATGTCATGAATCACTAGTAAGTGCTAGTGATTAATCTCCTCATTATCTTCTGCTGCCTTCTCTCAGCTCCCCCTGGCTCAGTCCATGGTATTTCAATCAGTAGATACGATGCTGCCACATTTCTCAGAGTGATATGGGCTTGAGCCTGGAAGTACCCAGCTCATGCATTTAATTTAATACTGCCTTATAGAGCTCTGTGACCCAGGACACCAGGCCCCAGAGATGTCCATTGGGTTCTATAGCTGAGTCCTAAATCTTTCTGCAAACATGGCTTAAGGTGTGGAGGTGCAGAGCTGACTGCTGATCATCTAGAACAAAGCATGACTAGAGACACAAGGTGTGGATTTAATCTTCTGGGAACACTCACTATTGTCATGAAATTACCATACACTGAATGAAAAGAAAAAAAGAAAGCCAAAGACAAATATGTAAAGATTATCTGTATTTAGGTCAATGGCCTTTAACCATCTACGTATCTTGAACCTATCATGAATAGTGTCTGACGTGTTCGCAAAGCAAACTTAAGAGGCAGTAAGGGTGAGCTGTTGTAGGATCAAGATTAAATGGTTTGTCCGAAGTCACACAGTGAGTTCACTGCACAGCTACAAACAGAACCCAGGTTTCCTAAGCCCCTATTAAAGAAAAGCTGCTAAAGTCAGGTGTGGTGGGACTGGAGAGAGCCTTCCTGTGGCTGATGCAAGGATGGACTTTCAAGATTCAGTCTTTGGAGAGGAAATGCCTTTCTCTGCTCACCCCACTACTTTTAAGCTCTTGGCAGAAAGACCCTGAAAAAATAAAACATATTATTAGTGTTAGAAGAGTGCCAATCTCAGCTGAGCTCTGTTGAGTCAGTTACTCAACACAAGAGGATTGGTAGGGAGAGAATAAATAACTTCTAAGGTTCTCCGAGCATTTGAATTTATGATCTATAAAACTCCATCCATAAAAGGGAAAAAAATCTGGACATGTAAAATTATAGACAAGTTCTGCCCAGGGTTTAGTCATTAGCAAGAGAGTTTTTCATAAATATA